CCCCACCCCACTCCCCCCCAAAAATGCACCAGATCATTTCCTTGCATTTCAGGTAAGTTAACTATCAGAACCAGTTCCTATTGAGAGCGTCGAGGTTTTTCTAAGATTAAAAACAAAGTCCACACCTTTCTGGGTAAGAGGACAGAGGACGGACCCACAGACTGGGGGGAGGGGCCACTGTTTGGAACACAAACACACATACCGTCTAAGCCACCGAACGGTGCGACTGTCACATGCCATTCCCGTGTCCGCTTTGTGAGGAGAGGGCGTTCTGAGACTTGACATCAGCACAAAAAAGTCCACTCCTCTCCAATCGGAGCAGGAACGAACCCGTCACCTTCCCAAGATTCGTTTCAAAAGCGTCTCGGCCGAGGGGACACTGTCACCGCTCTGGTTTGCTCTCCCGGCAGGTCCCGCCTGTGCCTCTGCGCCATCTCGCCAGTTAAAGGCTTGGGTGAAGTTTCAGGAAATGAAAATTCGATCCCACTGGCGGCTCTGCCAGCTGGGGAGCCCTCTGAAAGCGACGGGGACTCGACGCTCGAAATCCAGCCTTCCCAACGGCGAGACAAGGAACGCTCCAGGGAGGGCCGCCATCGTTGCACACGCCCGGGACCCCGAGGTCACGGCGGGGTGTCCTGTCTCATCCGGCGATCCCAGCCGACAGGACCTAGAGCCCAAAGCACCCCGTGCGCCCAGCACCCGGGAGTCATGCTGCCCATAATTCTCTGTGGCCGCAAAGAAAGGACGGGTGATGCGTCACAGTGGACGTGGCTCTGAGAGGGGACACACCGCTGTCCCAAAAGCCCCGGGGGTCACATCCGGCTCTGCCCGTCTTCAAGGCCGGCGGGTCCGTGCCCACCAGACCGTTTCTGTGAGGAGCGAGGGGAGAGAGGCCACACGGGGCCACGGGGTTCCCTCCTGTCATTTAAAGGACACAGAGGATTGTTCTTCCACTTTTCCTTGAAGGGACAAAAGAGCAAATGGGCCCCGAAGCTCCTGACCCCTCCCTGTCATCGGCCAGCTCCCGCTCCGCCATCGTCCCCCTGAGTCACAGCACAGACAGCGCCGCTCTGGTCCTCCTAGGCCCTGCTCTCAGGGAGCTGCGTCACCCTGAGTCACTCCGAGTCACCTGCGATCGTGCGGCAGAACCCCATCTGCGTGCGGTGACATAACGAAGCTGTTTCCAAACAAGAACTGTCTCCTAGTGTCTTTCCTCCGGAGCTCTCAGAACTCATTTGCTGGGGACGAAACTTGAAAGCCACCAAACTAATAATGCCAGTGACCTCAGTCTCACAGATCCAGGGGGTCGGGGGGCGTCCCCTATAACGAAGGCTCCACTGACTTCATCACACACTGACATTTGCGCATCACTGGGCGTCTCTGAGGGCCCGGAGGTGTGACGAGGTGTGACAGACCGACGAGGCCCACCTCCCTGGACCTCAGATTCCGCGTCCCTTCTTCAAACTCCAAAGCAACACCAATAGACACTCCCTATCCAATGAACAAATGGTCCACGATGCTCCCTTATGCCTCAGCTACGGCATAAAATCACATTGTAGGCAAAGACGCTTTCGTGTCCTGTTGGGGACATCGTGCACCGTAGGATTAAAGTGAACAGATAGTGGTAGATTTAAATAACAGTTCAAATTAAATAAGGCAATCAGACAAATGGCACACACAGCGATGGCAGACGGGGAGAGGCGGGCAGGCACCGCCTCAGAAGAGGCATTGTCTGCACCATCCAAGTTTCCTCTCCTATGAATGCCTCATTGTCCCATTGAGATTACAAACTTTTTAGGGCAGTCATCGGGTCTGGTCCTTTTTTACTATTTTTAAAAATCTAGTTTTGTATCGTACAAAGGAATCGTTCCAATGTTTTCTGAGTTCCAAAGGCCAAATGTGTAAAAACGAAACGTAAGAGAGAGGGGTGTGGGGGAGGGAGGGAGGGAGGGAGCGAGCGAGCGAGGCCCAGAAAGCCTGCATCTGGACAAAACCAGCCTCCCAGTTGAGGACATGGTGACCTCACAGGCCCAGGTGCACCAAAGTGACCGCATGCCTATGGGGACGGGCAGGCCCAGGTTCCTCCAGGAGGGGGTGTGACAAAGGCCACCCACTGGCTGAGGGTTAAAGAGCTTGCCCCAGCCCATCAGTGAAATGGGGACGACAGATAAGCAGGGCTGTGCCGTGCCCGACTCGTCGCGAGTGCTCAGTGATAACACCGTGACAGCCGCTGAGAGGTACCCTCCAGTGCATGAGGGGCTGTCCGTCATGCAGGAAGGGACTCGGTGTGCTCCGTGTAGATCCGGAGGCAGAGACGGGGATCGAAACGGTCAGAAACATCAGGAAGGCAGGTCTGAGTCGACCGAGAGAAACCGAGTTCCCAGCAACGAGAACGTTCAGAGTCAGCTGGGGTGCCTTGGAAAGAACACCGATTTGCAAACTGAAGATGTTCGATTCTCAAGTATATTCTAGAAGGGAAGCAGGCTTTAGCTGGGAGGCCAGAAGTGACAGCTTTTCATTCTCTATGGGCAGAAACTCCAAGAATGAACTCCAAACCCATCATCCCTAGAAAACCCAGGGGCCACACGCACCGAGCTCAGATCAGGGCTGGGATGGGGTCAGGCGCGGCGCCCTGCCAGGAAGGCCCGTGGACGGCGAGGACCTTCAAGGGAACCGGACCCTTGGGCCCAAGCCACATGCGAACGAGCAGGAGCGAAGGCTGGCATCATTCTGCCTCAGTCCAGCTCTCATTCAGAAAGCCTTGCAGCGCCCGCGCGCCGGACTCCGGCCCGTGTCCTCTCCGTCCTCCCTCCTCCCTCCTCCGCCCTCCTCCAGCTCTTCCGTGCATCCTGCCCTTGCGTGAGCTTCCAGACGCCCGCAACCCCAGGCCCTTCAGGCATCTCATCCTTCCGATCACATTTCTGCACCCGCGCCCCCATTCCTCCCGCCCCCCGCCACAGATGCCGGAGGGCTCCCCTCCGTCCGGACACGCGAACCCCATGCGCCCTTCCTTCCTTCTCCACGGCCCCCCTCTAGCAAGAGCAAGAAGCATGACTTTGGGTCACCTCCCTGCTTCAGAGTCCACAGTTTACAACCCAACCCAGTGCCTACGCCTCCACCGGAAAAGTCAGCATCTGCCTTTCTCCCAAGATAGTTCCGCTGCGGCCCGTGACATCTTCCCCACACCCCAGTTCCTCTTCTCCTAACCACTGTCCAGGACAAACCAGGTCCCAGCCAGGCTCTCCCTCCTTCCTGACCACAGCCGCTTCCCTAGAACGTCCATGTGCTCGGCCCAGCCCTGCG